GGCCAGGAACCACGCTGCACCACCACCTCTGCAATGACCCGACTTCTGACCACAACCTCGTCTACTCCCAGCACCCAGCCTTGCATACTCGCATCGTCTCTGTCGCTGAATGTCTGTTTCCTTCCCTGCTCGGCTTAGATGGCACGGTCCCTCACTTACAGCCCTCTCTTTCCCACCCGCTAACTTTCCTTTCCCACTGGCTGGCCAGCACACTAGCCTGGGAAACCCCCACATCTGACCATTCTCAGTTGGTTTCTCCAGGATGCCCAGAGCTCTCCCTTCTTCCCCAGCTAGCACCATGCACCTCTCAGCAGTGCTTTTAAATCTTTACTTCATACAGACGTTTCCCTTGGGAAGAATCGGAGGTGGAATGGGAGAGCAGGGGGAGCTAATGGCAATAAAAGATGAATGAAAACGTGCAGGAGGGGGAGACAGTTTGGAAATGTAGAAGAAAGGTAAGAGGTAGAAGGGACTGAGGGAGAGAGAGGTCACAGCAGCGGGAAGGACTGGAGGATGGTTGGCCAGTAAACAGTATGTTTCCTTGTACCGAAGTTTTACATTTTCGTGTAGATATTTTGCTTCAACCGGCATATGTGTCCTTGAGTTTTGGAGTGAGGGCCTGAAGATGGTGGGAGATGCTGATGGATGAAGGCAGGACTGGCGATAAAGATCACTTTTCCTCCAGTGCAGGGGGTTTGTATGCGGACTTTCTGCTCACTGGATCGAGGATGGTAACAGTTTTATACCTTTGACCAGGTTTAGAAGAGGAAGAATTATATCGTGCGCTGAGCCTCATATCCCTTTTGCAACGATAGAGACATGGTTGGTGGAGGAGCGGAGTGGAGTTGAAACTAAGAAATATATACCTTGGTGAACATGTGTTTTATTTCTAAGCACAAAGCCAGATACTATTAAGACTATGAAAAACTTGCCCGAGGCCATGAAGGACAAAAAGAAGACTCTTTGGCCTGGTGCCCTGGGTCCCAGGGCCTTGCCATGGGAGTAGGCATGGGGGAGGCAGCAGCAAAAGACTCCAGCCTGCTGGGTATGTGGGGGAGGCCAATCTGCCACCCCCATCAGAGGGCCCAGCTCTCTGCTCCTCGGAGCCTCCCAGGACTGGGGACTGAGGTTACTCCAGGCCTTTGGCCTCACTGGCTCTCTGGCCTCGAGAGCCCCAGGAAAGGAACGGGCTGGGATGAGGCAGACAGGAGGGGGTGGAAAGCATGTACCTTGGTGAATATATACCTCAGGGCCCTAGTGCCCCGAGGAAGTCGACCAAAGGAAGTAGATAAGACCTCGCTTTCACACTGAGGGCAGGTCAGTGACTCAGGGAATGATAATAATTCAGCTCTAAGTGCAGTCTCAGCTGCGCAGCCGTGGGCCCACGTTACAGGTAATCGCGCTGTAATGCGGGCGTGGCACCCACCTGCAGACAGTGTGGCGGGCGGTTTAGCCCTACTTCAGTGGTTGTGAGAATCAGAAACACTGAGATGTATATACCACAGGGCCGGAGCTCAGCTTAAAGCCCTGCTGCTCCAAGAGGGGCCCGTGGACCAGCATGACCGGCATCACCTGGGAGCTTGTTAGAAATGCAGAATCTCAGGTCTCACCCCAGACCTACTCAGTCAGAATCTTCACTGTAACAAGATCCTGACGTCACTCACACACACACTAAACCAAGAAAAGCTGCTCTGCCCGTCGCTGGCAGGGAGAGGACAGGGAGAGGCGTGCCGGGAAGGGTTCTGTATTTGAGAGGAGTGGGTCCTGGAAGAGTTGAAAGCACTCACCTGTGTGGCAGCCCCATCCGAGCTATTTCTGGATCCACAAGGGTGATTGCCCCTTCACCTCCACCTCTTCCAGGGGCTCTGCTGCCAGGGCGGGAGTACGTCATATGATCTCATTTTATAGCGAGGCGTGTGTGTGTGTGTGTGTTTTAATTTATATGGGTGACATTGGTTAATAAAATTATATAGGTGTCCGGTGTACAATTCTGTAATACTTCATTTGTTTATCGCATTGTGTGCTCACCACCCAAAGTCTAGTCTCCCTCCCTCACAATATATTTGACCCCCTTCACCCTCCCTCACCCCACTTTCCCTCTGGTAACCACCCTCCTGTTGTCTGTGTCTTTGAGGTTACTTGTGTTTAGATGTCACAATTTCTGTGTCTCTGAGATCTCTGACCGGATCCTCAAACTTTTCTCGGATCTATTACAGCCCATTAGACAATGTATTGGTCCTTTCTAAGAGTCTACTTTTTAAAAATTTAATCCCATTAATGCTAGAATCTATTATAGCCAAAAGCAGTCTTAGAATCTTACATATAGAATTTGGATCTGCAGGGGTGACCTGATAGGAAAATATTTTTGTTCTTATTCACTTTTAGTCTTTGGAGGGAAGATCTGTATTTTGGGAGAGATGAGAGGAGCGTCCTCGGAGATTGGGTGGCCAAAGGCAAAGGCTATCCTACTCTCTCTGTGCAGGTGCTCTTGTCTGGGGTGCAAGGTTATGTCTCTTAAGCACATGAGCAGGGAGTTCTCATCACTGTGGGAGGACTTCATTCTCCTGTTAAGTGTGGGAAAGAGGGTAAAATCCCTGCTAAAATCTTCCCTGATCAACACTTCCCTTACCTGAAAAGGAAAAAGAAGCGCCTTGGCCAGTATGCCTCAGTGGTTAGCATGTCGTCCCCCACACTGAAGGGTTGCGGGTTCGAGTCCCAATCAGCATATGTCCAAGTTGAGGGTTCAATCCCTGGTTGGGGCTCGTGTGTGAGGCAATGGATTGATGTTTCTCTCTCTCGCCCATCTCTTCCTCTCTGTCTGGAATCAATGAAAAACTTATCCTTGGGTGCAGATTAAAAACACACACCCGTCTCCCATTAAAAAAAAAGAAAAAGAAACAATAGGAGTTTATGAAGAAATTCTTTATCTCTTGCCAAGGGCCACAGGCCAGATGAGCATCATCTACAAAGAGATTCAACCGAATAGAATGTGTTAAAGGGGACCAAGAGCAGTTTCCAAGAAGTTTCCTTAGAATATTTCTTTTGCTAATAAGTAACCCATTTGCCCGGATGTAGGGCCTTTGGTTAATCATTACGTAGATTTTGGTAATTATCCCTTCTGCTAGGCACAAAGCTCCTACAAGGTCATACTCTTTGCTCATTAGCTTGGGGCCCAGTGGTAAGTCCCCCCCTCTCCCCCAGGTCAGTCCCAGGAGAATTGGCTCAGCAGGGTACGTGGTCACTCTAGCGTAGCACGTGGCTAATCCTAAAATTGCCTCCATCCTGCCTCCAGCTGGGAAGCCCATGCTGTTCTGTGCCACACAGAAATCTTCGGTGGCCTGTCACATGCACCTGTCAGAGTTGCCACTTAGTGTTCAGTGCCCCTAAAATCATGTGTGAACTCCGAGTGGAACTCGAAGCTTACTTCTTCCGCAGAAATATTGTTTATCTTAAAAGATGAAAGAAAAATCATACCACAGCTGTCTCCTATATCTTACCCTCTGGCAGAGCATATCAAATCATGTTCCCTTACATATCTCGAAACTGCTGGAGTGGTTAATAAAACATGCTTGCTCTCAGTTTCTTGTGTCCCTCAGCCGGAATAGATAATAAGGGACTTACCCTCTTTATCACCCTCCTGTTCAAGGATCTTCCCTAACTCGGTCTATATATGAAGGCACTTCCTGACAGCCAGATCTTCATTTAAATTCTCCTTTATTTGTTAACCTCCATCCAAAGTGCTGGGGTTTCTATTCTTTCTCCCAGTGTTTGTCTTACTTCTGCTGAGCTCTGTTCCTCTTGTGTTTTCTGGCCATCTCTGGCAGCCCACCTACTCTGCAGTTGATCATTTTGTACTCCCAGTGGATATGGGGAAAACAAAGAGAGAGAGCTAGGGAGCAGTCTTTCTGTCTGGGGCAAGGGAAGGCACCCAAGGAGGTGACATCTGAGCTGGGCCCGAGGGCAGAGGTTCAGCAGGTGTGAGAGGTGGTGAGAGGGTTTGGGAGGGAGACAGCCCACGCTGAGAGAACTGCAGGTTTGCCAAGGACTTGTCAGTAGCACCTGCTAGAAAAACAATTGCCTTACTTACTCAGACAGAGAATCAATTACAGTCATGTACGTACTATGCTAGGGATGTATTTCGCTACATCAGGGAGTGAGTGGTTTCATCTGGGGGATTGGAAATGTTTTCTTTTTAATAAATAGGCTTTCGTTTCCATGATGATGTCTGTTTTAACCAAATGATACAGACATAATCTATGTAATCTGCCACCTTGTTTTAACTGTGCTTTTTCTTGAGGAGGATTGGATAATGAGCCAGAAGTACTAAAACAAAAACAGGAGTTCATCATCCAAAAAAGTATTTTCATTGTGCTTGATTGTCAAAATGTTTCCCATCCATTAAAAGAGGTGCTTATGCTTTCAAGAGGAACCAGGTGCAAAGAAAGTGAATGACCTCAATGGTCCGATGTATAGATTCATAAATAGCCATAGAAAATCGGAAAAAAGAATGTTAGATATTATTTGGCTTGTGTCTTTATATTATAGGTGAGTGATCTAGGGATGGGAGAAATTGGGCCAGTTGCCCAAAGTCACATGGTCACTGACCTAAAGGGTCACAGCAAACCTTCCCCCAGCCTCCCCAGTCCTCACACTCCTCCTCATTCCTTACTCAGAGGGAGCAGGGCACATAGACTGCAAAATCTCTCCTTCATAATGTTGTTTTAGAGTCATCCCAACTGAAATGATCTCAGATTACTATTTAGGCTTTGAATTACGTAAAGGATTTGAACTGTTCGTTACTCAGATTCTAATGGGCAGTTCTTTATTTGGTAGAACATTTTGATCAAGGATTTTAAAGAAGGTATGACTAATAGATTCCACAATTCGGATACCATCTACAAATAGTGTTAACCATATAAACAAGCCTCTGGCTTTCTAAAACATAAGGTCAGAGTATGTTCTTTTATAGTTCTGACATGATTTCTTTTTTTTTGCTTTAGGGTACTTTTGTCTTCGGTGACACTGCTGTCTATATATTCAATAAACCTTCTGTTGATCTGTTCAAAGGAAACAGGTAAGCTGCTAATAGGTCTACTTTTGTTAAAGCCAGGAGGAATGATTTTGATGGTGATGAAATTGTAAACAAATGATGCTCTTCCTGCTCAGGAACTTGATTATTAAAGAAAAAGAGTACTTTGGCCGACAGTCACTGGAAGACCTATAGTAGTATTTACCCAGAGAAATAGATACAGCAACTATAAATTAAATTGTCATGAAGAGTGCACAATGGTGTTGTCATTTAAATAAACCCTCAATTATACCTCTTTTTTTTTTCTTCCTAGTTTAAGATGACTTCGTTTTAAAGGCTTTTGTTTTTCCCCGGGTCTTTATAAATTCAGAACAAGGATCCCATGTTTTTTATATTATAGCCTCCAAGTTCTAAAAGAAAACAGAGCTTTCATTCTCTTCCGTGCCTATTTCAAGGAGAAAATGTTACTCGCGAGGGACTATGGGAGTGAGTGTGCTAGGAAAAGATTTCAAGAACTCTGGGCAGTGTAATACCTGAAGTGTTTATTTTCTATTCCTGGGATAATGGGTTATGTTTGTAATACTTTGACTTTTGCATTAGCTAAAATTACATTGCCCGACTGTTATTGTATATAGACAACTCCATTTAACTGGAACATTCTGTAATAAATTGAGGGTCTAACCATTGTCTGGTTTAAACATCAGTCTTATGAGAGATTAAACAAAAGTTTAATTTAGCCTGACCCATATTACTTTCTGTGAACATTTTGAAAATGTCAGCTGAATTGTCATAAAGAAATAGAAACACTTTTTAAAAAATGGATGGCTTTGAATCTTAGTATTTATTGAGAAAGGCTAGTTGAATACTTTAGAATTTTGCTAGAGCCAAATTATTGTTTAGGTAGACCTCTTGACTGCTCTCTTAGGTGAGTTGCTTATTTTTGAACTAAGTTTTACAAACAATCAGAATTCTGATGGTGTGACTATTACATGTTTCTGAACTTGTTATTATATTTAGAATACATGAGACATTGAAGGAATATGATTAAGATAGTTCTTTGTTAACCTAAACATTCAGGTTATTAATTCAAAAAGAGCCTTTTATCCCAACTGTCAGGATTTTTATTTTTAAATCAAATCTTTATTTTAATGATATTCACCAGACCTGACAACATGTCCGAGTGGGGAATTCCCCCAGTAAAGTAAAAGGACTATTTAAGGTAGTCAGAAATAAGCCTTATGACCTAATGGTTGAATTGTAATGCTTTTGTAGCCAACCTGAGAAAGGAGAATTCGTGGTCATGTCTGACATTTAAAAATGTCAAGAGGTTGTTTTTTTTTATTTATTTTTTTAATTTAAATTCTTTATTGCTTAAAGTATTACATAAGCCTCCCTTTTCCTCCATTGACCTCTCCTCAGCCACCTCCACCCCCCAAGCGAAATAAGCCAGTCAGAGAAAGATAAATATCACACGATCTCACTCATTTGTGGAATACAATGAACAACATAAACTGATGAACAAAAATAGTCATAGAAGCATCAGACTGTCCAACCTCTGAGGGAAGGCGGGAGGGGGGGCGGGGGCGGAGGGAAGGGTTGAGGAGGTAAGAGATCAACCATAGGACTGTATGCATGCATATGAGCATAACCAGTGGCCGAGGCTGTTTTATAACGAGAATGTCCTTAACCCTTGCAAAGTCAAGAAGGCCATTTGTGAGGTTTTGAGAAAGACATGTAATAACTTGGGGAATAGTCAGTAGTGTGATGAATCTTGGCTAGTTTTAACTTTTAGAGCCCTGTCATTTCTTGTGTTCTCAAATATGATGTCTAAATAGGTTGCATGGTTTATGAAAAGCTGGGAGAGCAGGTCTTCGGCACCACAGGGAAGTTTGTCATCTTTGGAGCCACCTCTCTACAGAACACCGGAGGTAAAAACAAACACAAACATGCTTTTATACTTAACTTTAAAGTAGGTGGCCCTGCTGGCGTGGCTCAGTGGTGGAGTGTCGACCTATGAGCCAGAAGGTCACGGTTTAATTTCTAGTCAGGGCACATGTCCAAGTTGTGGGCTCAATCCCCAGTGTGGTACGTGCAGGAGGCAGCTCATCAATGACTCTCTCTCGCACCATTGATATTTCCCTCTCTCCCTCACCTTTCCTCTCTCTGAAATCAATAAAAATATATTTTAAAAAAATAAAGTAGGTGAACTTTATTATGTTTTCTAATTCTGGTGGTTGGGTGGTCACATGAATTTTAACATAATTCAATAAGTTATTCCCATTGCTAAAACGCAACATGTAAAGTAAAGCGGAGACAGCAGTCACTTATTTAAAACCAAGGAAACTGTGAGAGTATCTAACGCTGTCTTTGTGTCTTACTGAAGGTTACTCTAAAAACAGGCTGGTAACCTTTTATACGGCTTGCAACATGAACCTCAGTATCTTCTTTCTAAAATGTTCTCATTTTCCTCTAGCAATGCTGAGCTACCTCTTCATAGTCAAAAATGAACTACCCTCTGCCATAAAGTTTCTAATGGGAAAGGAAGAGACATTTTCGTAAGTCATATACCCTTTTTTTTGTAAGATAATTAAAATGTTTTTAATCGAAATGTGAGCTAACCAAAGTTTTTGTTTTATGAAAATTGCCGAAACAAAGTTTTCCCCAGGCTGTTTTTTCTGTTTGTTGTTTCAACACGTTTCTCTGGAGTTATCTAAGTAAAAGAAGCAGAGAGAACCCCTTGAATATGAGCATTTCCAAGGCAGATTCATCGGTCAGACTGCAAAATGGTAGATGCTGCATTTTCTCAAGAGCCTAAAATCTATGTCTAGTTTCTGTGAAATGGAACAGATACAGAGTATTTTTTAACACAGATGTAGAACATGCAAAAAAAAAAAATTAAGACCCTTTTTTAAAAGAAGGGACATAGCATTTTGGAAGCAAAACTTACATGAGCCACCTTCGTTAAAGATGTAGTTAACCCTGGAAAATGTTGCAGCTACATTTGGTACAGCCATTATGTTTTGACTCTCTCTTGTTTAACTGTCCTTGTAGGTCTTAGTTTCTGTTTTCTTTCAAGGGAGAGTCATCGAAGCCATAGCCCTAGTGTTCTATAATCAGGATTTAAGGTCAAATGCAAGAGATAAGGGAGAGAGCCTGTGGTGACTTGTTTTTCGAGGATATTAGGCAAGCAAAACAAAAAGGAACTTTCTCTTTAAATAATTGATGATACAAGTTGTAATCTGACAGAATGCAATGTGTGCATTCAGCTTTGAAGCCACATAAATAATTCAAAGGAATGCCACATTGGCCAATAGAGGAGGAAAAGAAAACAATATCCCTTCTTCCGTCACACGGGGGAAAGACAGCAGTAAAGGAGTAGTGGTTGCGTTAAAGTGTTTGGATAAAACATGAATAATGATAAAATTTGATAACAATTAAAATATTAGTAAAAATATATTGTGAAATTTTACTCTTAAGGGGAAAAAATGTCATTTTCTAAGGAAATATGGCCTCCCCGCTGATATGTCTTTCAGAGCCTGGTACGTGGATGGCCGTGTCCTGGTGGTGATTGTCACCTTCAGCATAATTCTCCCTCTGTGTCTCCTGAAGAACTTAGGTAAGAAAAGATCTTGCTTTTATCGTAGTCTCTACAGTGCCCAGATAAATCAGAAACCTAGTAAAACGAGCAACTTTGCCCTCAACTTCCACTTATACAGTAAAAATTAAGTAAATGATAAATTATAAGTATTAATCAGTCTCAACTTTAATATGGGATATAACTGTGGCTCAGTTGGTTGGACGTTATCCTGTGCACCAAAAAGTTGCCAGGTCCATTCCTGATCAGGACACATGCCTGGGCTGTGGGCTCAATCCCTGATAGAAAGTGTGCAGGAGGCAGCCGATTGATTTTTCACTCTCTGATCTCTCTCTCTCTCTCTCTCTCTCTCTCTCTCTCTCCCCCTTCCCCCCCCTTCTCCCTTCCTCTCTCTCTAAAATCAATAAAAAGGCTTTTAAAAGCAAAACAAAACACTGGTCAGTATGTGACTTCCTAAGCAATCATTCTAGGGAGCTATGGGGGCCGGCAACAGGCAGTGCATATTTCCAGTAGCACAAACTTACAGGCTATTCTGAGAAAAGTCAAAAAAATGGAATTCTCCTGATTATTTAGACAATTTGATTTTTTAAAAAATCTAATATCAAGACCGGAAGTTGCTTCTATTTATTCCCCAGAGTATAGTGAATTGCTCTTAAATGATCAAAGTCTAACCAACCTCAGTTATTTGCCTCATTACAGAGAGAGAGAAAAGTGAAAGGTCGAAAGTGGAAAACAACCACTGGGCCATATCCATTTGGTTTTGACTTCTCTAGGTGTGTTATCATCAGAGACGAGTGTGTCTGATGTTACGGGAGTTTCGCACATCGAATGATGTGGCCGCACTGCCGGCCAGTCCAAACCTTCTAAAATGCATTTCCTTTCATTCTGGGCTAATTCCAGGCAGACATTTAAAGTTCTTCCCAAAATGATTGCTAACCATGTTTTTTTTTTGTTTTGTTTTGTATGAAAAATATCCAGCCTCTGTAGCTGTTCTGTAAGATCTATAAGTAGACGTTAAACACACACACACACACACACACACACACACACACACACACACACACACAAACTACTTAATGTTCTGGTTTCTGGGTCTGTGTTTAGGCTTTTGTATGTATATACACATAAGTCTTTTCAGTTTAAGTAGAGAAGGGCCCTTCTCCCCCAGAGATGAGAATAGTGCAGTCCTGAGAGGCCACTTAACTCTGCCTCTCTGGAGGTTACGGTGGTTGGAGATTTGCCAGACATTCTAAGGGGAGCAAGGTAAAGATCCCCAGATGCTCAGTTTATCCCTAGAAATCACTCCCTCTCCTCTGTGCATGCCTCTCATTTGGGAAGAGAAGGATTGTGGCTGATAGCATTATGTATACAAGTGCATAATAAAGAGGAATGGATTTGGCCTTAGGTATCCATCAGCGTACAGCAGCAGAATTCCATGACTAAGTTTGGGAGGCTGTTTTCCCCTGGATTCTGGGAAGCTGTTCTCCAGTGTGTCAGGGAGAACTGGAATCAAAACTCATAATAATGTTTTTACTTAAAGTCACATTTTTGCCAAATCAAGTAGCACTATCAAAGAATAAATCTTACATTCACATTGGCATGTCTATATACATTTGAACCCCAAACTGTGCTGGAAAAAATGCATTACTTTGGCTGGGTGGCTCCGTTGGTTGAGTATCGTCCCGTGCACAGGAAGGTTGCCTGTTCACAGATTGCAGGTTCAGTCCCCAGTCAGAGCACATACAGGACGCAACCGATTGATATTTCTCTTGCACATTGATGTTTCTCTCTCGCGCGCGCGCGCGCTCTCTCTCCCCTTCCTCCTCCTCCTCCTCCTCTCTTCCTCTCTCTCTAAAAGCAATAAAAACGTATCTTTTAAAAAGTCATTGAAAGAAATAATGTGATGGATAAAATAGTAATTTTAATTTTTTAAAACTTTTTTTAGGGTACCTTGGCTATACTAGTGGATTTTCCTTGAGCTGTATGGTTTTTTTCCTAATAGTGGTAAGTATTGGTTGGAATGGTTAGTTTGGTTTTGCCATAGTACAATGCTATGTAACCATTATTCCTTAGTTGGCTCTATTTGATATAAAGTCTATATTGTTTCTCATATTTTTTTTTAATATCAGGTTATCTACAAGAAATTTCAGATTCCCTGCATTGTTCCAGGGCTAAATGCAACAAGTGCTAATTCAACAAATGCTGACATGTGTACGCCAAAATATGTTACCTTCAATTCAAAGGTAAGTTTCCTTATCCTTTAAATATAAAAAAGAGCATTTTTATTAATGGCATTATATTTCTTATTCTTGTAGTAAGTAAACTGTTTTAAATGTATTCAATCTCAAAAGGACACAGTCCCCTGCTTCCAAATTCCACAATCCATTTAGAGACCTTTGAGGAATATACAAATACTAGTAGCCCATCGCGCAATATCACGCACAGTAGGCTGCCTGCCGCTTCCTCAGGAGCCGGGGGGAACCACAGCGCACCCCGGGAACTGCGCTGCTTCCACAGGAGCCCTGCAGCTTCCCCGGGAGGCGGGAGGGACCCGCGCTGCTTCCGCAGGAGGCAGGCCCGCCGTCTCCTCTCCAGGCCTGCACTCAGCTGCAGAGGCTGTGGGCTGGCCCCCCTATCCTTGTCTGTGTCTGTTCTGGCTCCAGGGGGCTGGCCCAAGCTGGACGCGGCGACAAAGCAAGCATTGCGCCAGGCCGCTCATGCTGCCCACTCTCAGCGGCCATGCCCCTCCGCCCTCCTCCCCCTCCCCACCCGGGACTGGGGGACTCTGGCAGGGCTGAGAGGACTGGACACTGCCATCTTTGTGATGGAGTGATGGTTAATTTGCATATTGCCCTTTCATTAGATAGGATTATATTTCATGCTCCCTCTTTTTAAAAAAAATATATTTTCTTTATTTATGTCAGAGAGGAAGGGAGAGGGAGAGAGAGATAGAAACATCAATGATGAGAATTATTGATCGGCTGCCTCCTGCACGTCCCCTACTGGGGATGGAACCTGGGACCCTTCAGTCCAGAGGCTGAAGCTCTATCCACTGAGCCAAGCCGGCTAGGGCTTCATGCTCCCTCTTAACCCAGTTTACATGTAGGACAACGTTAAGCATTCTCTGTGAAAATGTCTTTCTCAATGATTGTCTCAGCTCTTTCCTATAGATCTATAAAAAATAGATTGACAACATCCTCAGCCCACTGCTTCCTATCTGGTGGTGACTAAAAGAAATGCCTCCAACTTCCCCAGCTTACACATTTGAAATACACATGCCACCACAAGTTGGTACTTACGAAAACGTCATACTATGCGATATTGTTAATAGTATAGGGAGCAGTGGACTGTGGGCTAATCAGGCTTGGACTTGAGCCCTCAAGCAAGTTACCCAACCCCACGTGTAAAAACAAGTATTCTATTCTGTATCTTACCGGGTTTTTGTTGTTGTTTTTGTGTTTGTTTGTTTGTTTGTTTTTAAGAATGAGGTGGGTTCAGTGCTTGGGCAAAATTAGAGGATGACAAATGTTACCTTTCCTTCCAATTTCTTTTTGCATAAGAAGTTATGTTGAGCCTGGCCTGCATGGCTCAGTGGTTGAGCATTGACTAGGAATTAGGAGGTCACGGTTCAGTTCACTGTCAGGGCACATGCCCACGTTGTAGGCTCAATCCCCAGTGTGGGCCATGCAGGAGGCAGCTAATCAATGATTCTCTCTCTTCAATTATGTTTCTGTCCCTCTCTCTCTCCCTCTCCCTTCCTCTCTGAAATCAATAAAAATATATATTTTTAAAAAAGTTATGTTGAGTTTGAAAGTTTTAAAAAGTCATATCTAAGAAAACAGATCTGTCTCTCTATCGCTCTCTGCCTCTCTTTTAACTCTAAGAATGAAGCCAAAGTAGTGAATGTGGAACTATTTTTCTTTTTTAGAAGCCACCTTTTAAGTCTGTTTAGATGCAGCCTACATATATAGCAAAGAGCAGTCAAATAGAGGTGGAAGTCCTGGGCATGTCACCTGACCTGCTGGAAGGGGTCAAAAACAGCAGTGGCCTGCCTGCTGCTCAGGGCTGTTGTAGGACTCCGAGAGATAATGTAGGAAAAGTGCACTGTAACTGGTTAGCGCCATGTAAAAATGGGTTATGCTATGTCTGGAGGATGTAAAATACGCTGCAGGTGAGCTGTGTCTCTAACCTCTCTGAGCCAAGTGCCTAATGTCTCGAGCTAGATAAACTCTCTTTGGAAAGCTGTTCCTATTTTAGATATCAAAGCCCTCCTAATAACCAAATAATCCAGGGATTCTGAAGAGCTGTCAGATAAAACTACAGCTCAGAAATACTCGAGCTGAATAATTTTATGATAAAAATACCTTTTTTAAATGTTTTTTTTCCTTTCAAATAGACCGTGTATGCTCTACCTACTATTGCATTTGCATTTGTCTGCCATCCATCAGTCCTGCCAATCTACAGCGAGCTTAAAGAGTAAGAGGTGTTTTTTTTTTTTTACGTTGATCATTTTATAACCCCTCATTAACAGGCAAGCCCTGTATTAAAATAAACAGACTCATGTAATGAACCCCACAGATTCATCACCCAGTTTTAACATTTACTTTCTGCCATTCTTGAGCAAGTTCTGCATTTTAAGAAAGAAAAAACAAAAGAGGAAGAAAAACCAGAAACCTGCAATGTATTTTGGATGTAAATATAGAAAGTGGTACACTCTGTAGGCTTTTTTTGTTAAACTGGTTTTTCAAATACTGTATTACTTAGAGAGTTCAAGTATTTGGGTTGCTTTATGTTACTTATATTTCCTTGGCAGGTAGAATATAATGATCTTCAGATTCAATATCTGTAAACTGCTAAACACATGATATCTGATTTGCCTGTTGATTTAGATGGAAAAGGCTGGTAAATCAGGCAGAGAAAAATTAATGCTAAGACCACAAACTAGACAAAAGAATTCTGTCGGTCATTTTAAATGATTAAGATGATTCTATGGATTCGATTTTGATTGCTCTTCTAGAGAAAACTAAAGGCCTACTTATACATAGCCTCATTGGTTCTCTTTTTAGCTTACCGTTACCAGACTTTATATAAAAAGTCATGTGGCATAGTCTTAAGCTCAGAAAAGATACACAATATAGTTATTTTGTATATTCAAAACATACCATTTTGAAACAAAAATAAAGTGGATGTCACTTAGCATTGGATTCCCTCATGATTCTGCCTCTTTCCTATTTAATCGATATAGGTAAATTTTGAAATATTTACATTTACCGATATCAGTGCTAACTTTATGATCCTGTATTTAGGGTATTTGAATTTGTCTTTGGCATCTTTTCAATGTGATAGCCCAGCTTTTAGTTTGTAATTTTCTCGTGTGGACATCTCAGTTTTTCTTGTCTTCCGTACTCCCTGTTATGACACAGCCAAATATGAGTATTGGTAGTCTCTTGTTGAGATCAAGCCGTGTAGACTAATTATTCAGGCAGCTAAAGCAACGTAAGGTGCATTCAAACTCTCAGCGTAAACTTGACCTAAGAGACAGCCCTTCATCATCACCTTCTGTGATCATTTGGGTACTTAGTGCTGTGGAGACACGCAGACGTCGAGGTGCACCTCTGGGGCCACTCAGTGGGAAAACTGGAACCTAAGAACAGCATTAGCAACAGGACACCCGAGGCCAAGTTCCAGCTCTGCCTTTCTCTCCTGTGAATGCTCACTGTGGAGAAAATAGCAAACACAAGTATTAAAAAAATACTCTCTGCCCTTCAGATGAGAACTCGATGTTCTTTCCAAAGAATGGGTAAGAGCACTCAAGGAATGGTTAGTTCCCTGGGTCTCTCTCTCATTCAATACCCTTCGGTATAAAAGAAGTTATTCTAAACAGGCATAATGGCCTGGGGTAATTTCAGTTGGTCAGATCTGTTCTACCCTGATAGAAAGTGAAGTTCCTGTAAACACTTTTGTGTTAACACTGGTCTTTAAATTCAGGAACGTGGTTTTTAATTTTTCAAATTCTTTTATCTTTGTTTTTAGTCGATCACAAAAAAGGATGCAGATGGTTTCAAATATCTCCTTTTTTGCCATGTTTGTTATGTACTTCTTGACCGCCATTTTTGGCTACTTGACATTCTATGGTAAGTAACTTCCGTCAGTACATAAATGTAGGTCATTGTAAGTATATTCGTAAAAATCATTATCAAAACAACTTTTAATGTGATAGTTAAAAAAAGCAACACATCTGTCCATTGATTGTGCTGTCTCGTCTACGTAAAGCAAATGGCACTGGCTGCTTTCCATATTCACGCAGACTGTACAATAGAATAATTACCGAAACAATACACTGTAATGTTTTTCTCCTAATACTGGCCTTAAAAGGAAGAGCATTTTATAAGCATACCACCTGCACTGAGAAAAGTGAAAACTATATCAGAGAATTTCCTAATTGCTGTTGCGAATGGGGTCAGATTCCATTAATAGAGACACAGAGACAGATGCTGAACGGGAGAAAGAGCCAAGTGCCACACTCACGACACCTCACATTAATTAAAAATAAAGTGCCTACTTTTTCACCGGAGGTTGGAGCCTTGCAAGGAGGTGAAGGGATGACATAGAAAGTTTTAAAGGGACTGAAATCCGAGGTGCAGCGAGAAGCCCTGGAAAGGAGACATGAAGCCAGCACTTTTCACTCTCAGTGGCTGCCATGCTAGCTAGCTTTGGTTATCTTTGAAATAACATCTCCTGAGGTTCGGAGTTGAGAAAAGTCCAAGGTGGTACATAAGCAAAATGCTCTCTTTTTTAAAAAATAAGAAAAACATGCATGGAAGAGAAGAATTATTTCTTTTGTTTGCTTATTTTTCTTTTGTTTTGTTTTGTTTCTTTGTAGAAAACCAAGCAAGAATTTATTGACCACAGCAAAAATATTCTTAGGAGAGTGAAACAGGGCATAGAAGAAGCAACAGGAGAGCCTGGGCGGGGCTGCCGTGGCTCACTGGGAAGTCAGAGAAAAGGGGCCCTGGAGACAGGTTCAGGGGGTGAGCCCTGGACAAGTTGCCACTGCCCATTGCTGGCCTGGTTGCAAGTTTCGTGGGGTCCCTTAGAGGTTAGGGGGATACATGCTGGGGGGGGGGCGGGGAGAGTTGGGCATGCCCCCTGGAGGGAGAGTGCTGAGAAGAATTTTTTCTTTTATTTTTTTAAAATAATTATTTCTTGATGTGATTAAGTCCCATTGGCACCCCTGTTGCTTGGCCACTGAAAATTGAGCAGTAAGAGGAAAGTTTGAAAGAGGCTCCGAGTGGCCTGCAGTCCACCTATCCACTCAGCAGGACTAACTATTCTGCGTTGTTGGATGTGGCACCAAATGGGAGAAAATCTAAATTAAGAATAGCTTTGTGCTTCAACCTGTGCTATTTTTAAAAATATATATTTTTATTGATTTAAGAGAGGAAGGGAGAAAGAGAGTTAGAAACATCATGATGAGAGAGAATCATTGATTGGCTGCCTCCTGCATGCCCCCACTAGGGATCGAGCTTGCAACCTAGGCCTGTGCCCTTGGCTGGACCCTTCAGTCCGCAGGCTGATGCTCTATCCACTGAGCCAAGCCAGCTAGGGCAACCTGTGCTATTTTTAATCCCAATTTACTCCTAGGATTAATTTAGTATAAATTAAACGTAGCCACTCTGTGTAGCTTCTTCTCATGATTAGCATAAATTCCTTTAGTTAAAGTTCCGATGGACAGGTGGAGCGTGCCTCACACCAGGCATTTCTCTTCTCAACTCCATACACTGTTTTAACCGACAGCCCAGATCATTGCTTTCCTTGCCCATCAGTGGATACATTCGTTGTTGTTCAGGAAAGCTGTCATTCAGGGATGTGCTTTGTTTCCTTTCCCTACCCTCTTTTCCCTCACTTTAGAAAACGTCCAGTCGGACCTCCTTCACAAATACCAGAGTAAAGATGACATCCTCATCCTGACGGTGCGGGTGGCTGTCATCGTGGCTGTCATCCTCACGGTGCCGGTGTTATTTTTCACGGTGAGTAAAGCCTCGGTGTCACCTGAGAAATGCTGAGGTCTCACCTTTCCTTCTGTCTCAGGAGCCCGTCCCAGAGAAAGCCTGCTGCAGGTAGCTTTCCTGTGTCATTGAAACTGCCTCAGGGAAGGAGCCCAAGACTCTGTGGAGATTCTGCAGGAAGAAAGTGGGATCGGTGATATTGGGTAGACTCTGGTGGAGGGAATCTTAATTCTATTTGATCTGTCCCTCTTTTTTTATAGAGAAATGCAGGTAGAATGGTTGAATCTCGATCATACACAATCAGGGAATGTAGAAGGACCAGGAGAGAACCCTTAGCCGTAGAGAAAACAAAAACAGAAATTATTCCCCCTGAAAGAAAACAATCTACTATTGCCAGGCCAGTGTGGCTCAGTGGTTGAGCATCGACTCATGAACCAGGAGGTCACTGTTCGATTCCTGATCAGGGCATCTGCCTGGGTTGTGGACTCGATCCCCTGTAGGGGGCATGCAGGAGGCAGCTGATCAGAGATTCTCATCATTGATGTTTCTATCCCTCTCCCTTCCTCTTTCTCTAAAATCAATAAAAAACATATTTTAAACAAGAAAACAATCTATAATAATAAAAGTGTAATATGCTAATTAGACCAGATGTCCTTCTGGATGACCTTGTGGACAAAGCCAAGGCTGCGAGGGAAGACCAGGTCCCTGGTGCCTGCTGGTGGCCGGAGGGAAGCCTGGGTCCCAGGTACCAGAGGGAAGCCAGTGCCGGTGGCCGGGGGAAGGAAGGCCTACTCTTGCACGAATTTCGTGCATCGGGCCTCTAGTCTATCCTACATAATATAGAGGTAATATGCAAATTAACCCTCATGCCCTCATAAGATGGCTGCCTATGATCAGGCCGGCAGGGAAGTTAGTGAGGGACGACCAAATGACTGAACAGCAGGTTGCATGGGGCGACCAAGCCGGCAGGGCAGGGCAGTTAGTGGAGACCAGGCCGGCAGAGGGGGGCAGTTGGGGGCGACCAGGCTGGCATTGGGGGTGATTAGGCTGGCAGGGGAGGCAGTGAGGGGCAACTAGGCCAGCGGGGGGGGGGGGGGGTTGGGGGCAGGGGGGTGACCAGGCCAGCAGGGGGTCAGTTAGGGGCGATCAGGCCAGCACGCAAAGGCAGTGAGGGGTGATCAGGCTGGCGGTGGGGGGGTAGTTAGGGGTGACCAGGCAGGCAGGCAGGTGAGTGATTAGGAGCCAGAGGTCCAGGATTGTGAGAGGAATGTCCAACTTCCAGCAGGTGAACATCACCCAAGGGGTCCCGGATTGGAAAGGGTGCAGGCTGTGCTAAAGGCATCCCCCTCCCCCCCGCCTGAATTTCGCACACCAGGCCTCTAGTTTATAAATAAAAACATTTCCACCTTAAATCAAGCTCCCCTGCTTCCCAAACTGTTGTGCTATCTATAAATTACAGACCATTTCACAAATCCCTGTGCAACGATATGTCAGTTGCTGCTGAGAGCGTGAGTTTGGCAAGTGCAGGCCCTTATGGAGTCTTTGTTTTCTTTTCCCGCAGGTTCGTTCGTCTTTATTTGAACTGGCTAAGAAAACAAAGTTTAATCTGTGTCGTCACATCTTCGTGACCATCATACTCTTGGTCATTATCAACTTGTTGGTGATCTTCATACCCTCCATGAAGGATATCTTTGGGGTCGTAGGTATGGCTTTAGGACTTCACACTTATTGTGCAGCAGCTAGTTAAGAAGCTGAAATTTCACAGTAGCAACTTCAAA